ACTGGTCCACAGACTGTGGTTTCAATCTGGCGTCCAAGCTGCTCCGTCTGCTACTCTAAGCGCTTCGTCAAACTTTATTTTTGTAGCCAGGACCCCGCCCCGCCTCACCCCTCTACCTTTCACTTTCTTGTTATCCTCCTCCTCCTCCTGCGACGCTATAGCTATTTGTTACTCAAATGTGCGGAAGCTACGGACGTGGAAGAGTATTTTCGCATATATGTGTGTGTTTCACCATACTTCTCTATTTTTTTTCGTTTTTATGTTCACTATTTTTGCATAAGAACAACCACCCTCTATCTCTCTCTCACTCTCAGTCAAGCCTTTATGTCATCCGCCTTCTGGCACCGAAGGGGTTAGGCCTTGTCCCCAGGCTAGTGCTTTATCAAGCTCTACCAGAAGGTAAATTACTAGTTTAAACATCGTTCAGATAAATACAACATAGAGGTGCAGAATAAGCGCACATATATATACTAGTTCAGCAGATAAATATATATGCTATTTTGTTAGTGTAGACTGTGTTTTCTCAGAGTGACAATAATTTTAGTCTTGAACAATATATATTTATATGCATATGTGTGCAGAGGGTTTACGAAACGACTTTTCTCTACTGTGGCTCGCCGGTTAGAGTGTTAGACGTGTTATCAAAAAGTCGCGGGTTCGAGTCTGGGCTAATGTGCCAGTTAATGATGACGGATAATGAGTCAGAAATGGCCACTTCAGTCTCCAGCTTGTCTTTGACGGTGATACCATGTCTCTCTACGGTCGCTTTATTACGACACCGGAAAGGTTATTTCGTGGCCGCTGTGTAGGTCCCCCTCTCAGCAAAACTTTATTGCGTGGGTGATTAACTATGGAAATAGGAGGTGATTTTTAATATAGGTGTATGCGCAGGGTAGTGAAAAGAAGGTCATTTCATGCCTGGACTAGCAAGACCCAGAGCTCACGCAAGCTAAATCTGCGTTGCGTTTATGGTATCAGTCCCACACCAGGGCTCAATAAACGGCCGCAGCTGGTTGGACGAAAAAGTGGAGCAAAATTGGTCAGATAACCGGATAAAAAAATTCCGATTGCAGAATTATTTGCACCGCTAAGCAACGCGGCCACTGGGAGATTCACTCGTGGCCAAAAATTTACATTGCAGCCGCTAGGAAATTTAAATAACGGTTCGCAGGCTAAATATATGTGTTTATAGCTCATAAGGAGCACCAAAAGCCCCCAGCAAGAATACTGTGTTGAAATAAAAATATAATGCAGGAGGAGTACCTGTTACCCAACGTGTTGCGTTTTCGGCACAGGTACTCATTGCAAAACGGCACTTTAACCCACCCCACTGCTCCGCCTAATTACTCAGCAGTAGGACGCATACGATAGTAAACTCTGCAACTTGGTTCTTGTGCGGGATGGATTAAACTCCAAGCCTTCCTCCCCCCCTCTGATCGAAAGGCAATAATTAAGCGCACATACCTGGTGTTGCTAGATAACCGCAGGCTGAAATAAAACACGAGGTTAAAAGAATGCGGCATTGTATGGTTGGGACGATGTGGGGACGTTTGCCAGGTTGTTTGAATGATATCAACTTCCCAATAAGTGCTCGAACGTAGGCTGCGTGAGCAAACAAATATTTTTTAGCAGGTTCCTGCACTTTGCCAACCGATTTCTTCTCTGTCAAACTCTTGCCAACACTCGTAACTGATAAGTCAGTAAGATTTGGAACAATTTGAAGCTCTTATAAGCGCGGAGCGGTAAGCCCGGAAGGACAGTTTTCCTTCTGATAGAGCTACGCATAGGTCTGGCACTAGAAATCGTTAGGGAAAATACTGCATTTATATGTGCTGCAGTAGATACAGATTTAAGAAAAATCAACATGACGGTTCTCTTAGTCTAAATGCGTGGGTTTCTAGATCACGCGAAGCAGGAAATCCTTGCAGTCACCTCAGGATCTTGTAAAACGGGAATGGTGGTTATGGGGGAGTTTTAAGGCTGCGGCCTCAACAACGAAATGTATGCAAGAAAACATTAAAAATGAGTAAATTGCCGCCTCGTTTGTTCTTCTAGGACTAAATATAGCAACGAAAGCGAGTGATATCTCAAAACATGGACTCTCACTAGATAAAAGGAATACTAAGAAGACGAACCAAAATAAAATTAATTTGTGCACGTCATTACGTGAATGTAGTGCTTAACACACATAGGGTTACTTTCCATAGCTGTTACATAACAAACCCAATTAGGCCAGCCTAATGCTACCAGAAAAAGCAACCGTTAGCATTTAAAGTCGAGGCAAGCTGCCACAGACTCGTGTGTTCCGAATTGCGAAGTGAGCTCTGTTATACTTAATCAAGAACGAATCTTTGGTTTGTTCGGTTAGGGCCCTCAAGTCCGTCTGACCGACACATTATGACTAAACTGAATCGCCATACAAGACATTGGCGAAATTAGTTCCGGTTAAGGTCTACACAAATACAACACACTTGGGAATAAAATGACACTCGTTGATTAGAGTTCATCGATCGCTGACGGAACTCGCTCGAGCCGCTTTGGCCAGGATTTTATTCTCGAGGCCCCGCTGGCAGCGGCTTGAAGGGAAGAAAGATGAACATTTCGGCTACTACAATATTTGTCCGCCGACCAAGTTATGATATAATAATGATGATTCAGCCAATACAAGCGAACATGCGAGTCCCAGGAATGAATTGAGGAGAAGACGACTCGATCGCTGGGACAATACTTTTATTCGTCTGACGTTTCAAAATACGTCGCGGATTCGTCATCAGAGACATAGTCAAACAGCAGTAGCAGAAACGGCTAATACACGCACAGGGGTTTGCAGTATTTATAGGATACAGTCATTGCTGCAAACATACAGCCACAATTAACGTTAATCGCCTTTTTGTGCGTGGATAGTTTGTTGGAGAGCATGCGGGCTCTTACCTGTTGAACGTTCATCATGCGTGGTGAACTGGGGCGTGCTGATTGCTCCGTCATCTGGCGGTCATCTGTGGTGTTTGCGTAGGCCTGTCTGTACCCCAAGTGACGACTTGCTTTGGCCAAATTGAGTCTCAGCACCT